CCCCAGGGTGGGGAGCAAACCTTGAAGGGGCTTAGCTGCTTTTGTGTTCTCTGCAGGCTGCTGCGGAGGAGGGTGGTGGGTTGAGGGCATGGGATGAAGCTCCCTGGGGGATCGCAGAGCCTAGCCCAGCAGGCCCTCGGCGCTCCTGCCTTCCCCCGGGGCTTCCTGGGAGGGTTTTCTGCCCACCCAAGGCACTCTCCCCCATGCTGCTTCATGGTCATTGCCTGCAGTGGGTTGAACAATGGCCCCTGAAAGGTGTGCCCAAGTCCCAACTCCTGGCACCAGAGAGTGTGACAGTATTTGGAAATAGCATCTTTTCGGATAGAATTGATATCTATGATATAATTATGGATCTGATGATGAGAGCGTCTTGGATTTAGAGTGGGCCCTAAATGCAATGGCTAAGTGTCCTGAAAGAAAAGGAGACAGCAGAGACAGAGAGGCTGAGGCCATTGCTGGTGGAGGCAGATTGTAGTGTTGCTGCCCCAAATAAAGGAACCCCCTCAGTTGCCAGCAACCGCTGGAAGCTAGGAGTGTGGCAGGGAACAGATTCGCCCGCATGGCCTATGGTAGAACGAACTCTGCTGACATCTTGATTTTGGACTTGGCCTTACTCAGTCATTTCAGGCTCCCATAGGCAGGGGGCCTAAGCAACAGAGCTTCCCCCAGTTCTGGGGGCTGGGAGTCCCAGGCCAGGGTCCCAAGCCGGCTGGGCTCTGGTGAGGGCTCTCTTCCTGGCTGCAGATGGCTGCCTGCTCATGTGCTCCTGGGTAGACAGAGGGGAAGGTGAGCTCCCTGGTGTCCCTGCTCAGAAAGGCACCAGTGCCCCTGCAGGGGCTGTGCTCATGACCTTGGTGAAGCCTCATGATCTCACATTGCAGGCTAGGAAGGAGTCTACCATGTGTGTTTGGGGTGGTTCAGTTCACAGCGGGCACCCAGAGCCATGAGAGAATGTGTTCCTGTTGGTCTAAGGCACCCAATTGGTGACACTTCACCTCAGGAGCTTCGAAAACAGATACAGTCAGCTCTCAGAATCCTCGTGGGGTTGGTTCCGGAACACCCTGTGGACACCAAAATTGGAGGGGGCATGAGCCCCTTTTAGGATAAAATGGGTAGAATTCACATGTAACCCATGCACATTCTCCTGTATATATGTTCTTAAGATTTATTTATTTTATTTGAAAGGTAGAGGCAAAGAGAGAGAGAGAGAGAGAGAGAGAGAGGTCTTCCATACACTGGTTCACTCTCCAGATGGCCACAACAGTTGGAGCTGCACCAATCTGAAGCCAGGAGCCAGGAACTTCTTCTGGGTCTACCACAGGGGTCCAGGTGCCCAAGGACTTGGGCCATCTTCTACTGCTTTCCCAGGCCATAGCAGAGAGCTGGATTGGAAGTGGAGCAGCCAGGACTCCAACCAGAGTATATGAGATATCAGAACTGCAGGTGGCAGCTTTACCCGCTACGCCCAGCACCAGCCCCTCCGTGTACTTTGATCATTTCTGTTATAATACCGAATATAGGAGCTGGCACTGTGGCATCTCAGGTAAAGCTGCCACCTGCGATGCCCACATCCCATTTGGGCTCTGTTTCAAGCTCCAGCTGCTTGGCTTCCTATCCAGCTCCCTGTTAATATGCCTGGGAAAGCAGCAGAAGTTGGCCCAAGTGCTTGGGCCCCTGCATTCACGTGGGAGACCCAGATGAAGCTCCTGGCTTCAGCCTGGCCCAGCTCTGGCTTTTGTGGCCATTTGGGGAGTGAACAAGTGGATGGAAGGTCTCTCTCTCTCTCTCTCTCTCTCTCTCTCTCTCTCCCAACTCTGCCTTTCAAATACATAAGTAAATAAATATTTTAGACAAATAATACCTAATATAATGACCTAGTACAATGTAGAAGGTAGGTAAGTAGTTGTGCTGTGTTGTTTAGGGCATCATGACGAGAAAATGGAGCCTGTACGTGTTTGTCTTGTGGATGCTTTTGCTGCGAGGCTGGCTGAATGTGTGGATGCAGAACATGTGGCTACTAAGCCGGACATATGGGGCTTCTCCTGGCTTCCCCAGGAGCCCCCCTCCTCACTGAGACCCTCGGCCCAAAACAATACTGAGGGCCTGAGCTCTGATTAACCCGGCCTCTACCTGCCGACTGCAACCCTACCTGTGTCACAGCCTGGGACCGGGTGCCAGTTCCTCAGGGTGCTCCTTGTTTCCTGAGACGTCATCCTGCCGTTCGGACAAACGCATCAGCAGGGTCACACAGGGTGGCCGGGGCAGGGCCCTCCATGATCACCGCACACACTGCCCCACCTCCCATTTCTTCTGGAACTCGGGCCATCACCGAGGGGAGAGATCCCAAAGATGGAAATCTGTGGCTTGGTGGCTGAGTCAGGAGCAGGTGGGAGGGCTGGCGGAGTTCATGTGATATTGACCTCCAGGATCGAGGCAAGCAGGGAACGCAGGCAGGGCATCCGTTTTAGGGGAGAAATGGAAAGAGCAGGGGTTCGGGGCCCTGAGCATTGTCATTGACGAGCTCCGTGAGCTCAGGGAGGCCACTGCTCTTAGCCTCCTTGTCCATTCGTGAGCGGAGTGATGAAATGCCTTCTCGGCCCCTCCTCTGGGTCTTGTCTGTCCTGGGAGGCTGTGACAGACTAAGGGAACAGTAGGCAGGCATTGAGGCCAGTAGTTTGCTCTTTTCATCAGAGCAAAAGAGTTACCACTGGAGCTATTTGTGGGTGGACAGCACAGACACGTTAAGTATACTTAGTGTCGTGCATCTATCGCCAGCCCCCGTCTCTAGAACTTTCCATCTTCCCAAACTGAAACTTGGCTCCTACCAAACATAACCCCCAGCCCCTGCTCCCAGAGGTCCGGCTGACTTCTGTTCTCTGTCCGTCATGATGACGTGGCCTCTAGAAGGTGCTCCCTGCGGGCAGCATCCAGTGACATCTCTCCTTCTGCCTCTGGCTCATTTCACTCAGCACAAGCTGCCTGAGGCTAATTCATGCTTTTGTAAGGATCAGAATTTCGTTCCTTTTTAAGGCTGAATAATATTCCATTTCCCATACAAGGGAGTCTTAAAAGGCTCATGGAAAAATGCAATTAAAAAATAAGTTTATGCATGTACCTCATGTTAATCCAAAATTTAAAAATAAAATGTATGTTTATTCTGGTTTAAAAATTTGGAAGTCCATTCATCCCTTTTTCATATGGTGCATCTTCTTTTTTTTTCTTTTAAATATTTATTTTATTTATTTGAAAGAGTTACAGAGAGGCGCAGAGACAGAGAGAGAGGTCTTCCATCTGCTGGTTCACTCCCCAGATGGCTGCAATGGCCAGAGCTGCGCCGATCCAAAGCCAGGAGCTTCTTCCGGGTCTCCCACGCGGGTGCAGGGGCCCAAGGCCACCGTGTCACCCCCATGTGGTGCATTTTGCACAAGCTCTCTGAAGACTGCTGGTGTCTACTACACCTTGCTTACTATCCATCCACCCATGGGCATTTGAGTTGTTTCCTTCTTCTGGCTGTTGTGAAAACTCCTACTGGGCACACTGGGGCACAAAACTCTGCTCAGGTCCCTGCTTTCAATCCCTTTGGGGTCCCATGGTGACTCAGTGTGTACTTGTCTGAGCAGCCGCGGAATGGCTCCCGCTTAAATGAAGGGACACGGTAGCCCCACCGTAGGTGTGCTACAGGGAGCCCCAGGGAGAGGGAGCTGGAAACCACCTCGGCCCCTGGCTGTGCAACTCCCCGCTTGCCCATGGGCTGCCACGGGCCAGGTGTGTTTTGGTGATTTGAGGCCACTACCAACCCCAGGGCCACATGGTTTCTATTGCTGGGGTCCACTATACTGTGGCCCGAAGTATGCCCTGGAGAAAACACGTGACTTTCTCTCCTAATGACTTCTTCAACATTTTAGAAACGGTGATGATGTGTGCATCTAGTTCTGCTTCCATTGCTAGGATTTGAACCCAAAACAATGGGAAGAAGGGTTGGGGGGGGCAGGGAGGGAAAGAGGTTTGATTGGGGAGACAGAAAGACGGTTGATGCTAAGACTGAAGTTCACAAAAACACGGGCCAGGGATACAGAATGGTCCAGGGGGAGCCAGGTGTGGCCAGGGGAATGAGCGAACAGATAAACTGAAAGTCTGGGCTCAAATCTCTGTTCTTCCACTCGAGTTGGAGCAAAGAGCTTAGTCTCCCTGCAATTTGGTGTTCTCATTCTACAACACAGGGACCTGAGGGGAACTCAGGGAAGCTGAGTCCCGTGCAGCAGAAGCACACAGGCGAGACAACTGCCGTGGGGTCTGGCGCTCACGCCCGGCACCCTCCCCGCCGCTGTGTTTGCCCGGGGCACCGTCCCCCATCTCCCAGTTCTGGAAATCTACTTTTTTTTTTTTTTTTTTTTTTTTGACAGGCAGAGTTAGACAGTGAGAGAGAGAGAGAGACAGAGGGAAAGGTCTTCCTTTTTTTCCATTGGTTCACCCCCCAAATGGCTTCTACTGCCGGCGCGCTGCATCGATCCGAAGCCAGGAGCCAGGTGCTTCCTCCTGGTCTCCCATGCGGGTGCAGGGTCCAAGCACTTGGGCCATCCTCCACTGCCTTCCCGGGCCACAGCAGAGAGCTGGACTGGAAGAGGAGCAACCAGGGCAGAACCAGTGCCCCAACCGGGACTAGAACCGGGGGTGCCGGCGCTGCAGGTGGATAATTAGCCAAATGAGTCATGGCACCAGCCGGAAATCTACTTTAAACCATAGGATTGGGGGGCAGCTTGCGTCCTGATGGCCATTCTGGAATTTACCTCTCTCCTCTTCTGCTGCTTCCTCTCTCTCCAAATCAAATGCTTTATCTTTTGGGGGCTGGTAGATAAGACCTTCCTAAGAGGCATAACACTGGCTCTTAGGCACAGGATATGCTCTTTGCTTAAATTACTACAGCAACAACAACACAGTAGGGAACCCCAGTTATCCTGAGCGAGACTCTCCCCACTGCCATTCGGAAATGCAGACTTCCGTTAGCCATCCAGTTGCATTTACTGCCACAGGCTCACTCTCCAGGAAGGCACAGCAGGATTGAGGGGAGATGCAATGTGAAAACACTTCAGGGCTATAATCTTACGTCAAAGCAAATCATTATCACTAATAATAAATACAGAAAATTGCATGTTTGATAAATGAGAGTTATCCGAACAGACAACTCTTCCTCTTTTCCGCCTTCCTCTGCTCTGGTGGTCCCGGGCAGAGCCAGGCTCGACCCAGCTTCTGCTCATCCTTGCTGGTTCAGTTCAATAAGCCGGCCTGCAAACACGGCGAGGGTGCCGATGAGACAGACCAGCATGAAGATCCCCAGGAGAATGTGGTCCATCACCATGGCGACATACTTCCACTCCTCGGATGCCTGGGGGAGAGGAGAGTGTTAGGGTGGTCTCACATCCTTCATGCTATGCCATCTATGGGCCTTTCAATGGGGGGATCTCAAAGCTCCGCACATCTCACACCAGGCATTACGATCTTTGTGTCAGAGTAGATTATTCACAACGTGACGACTTGCTGAGGGGGCCCTGAGGGGGTCCCCAAGGCACATTTTTGCTCAGCAGCTGCATCTTGAATGCCAGCCTATCTGTCAAGTCAACCCATCTGTCTGCGCTCGTGACCTTGACCATGTAAACACAGAGGGGCTTCCAAGCCGGGACGCTTACGTTACTGGACTCCTGGTCTGACTTCATGGTCTCTGCGATGTACTTGATGCCCTCGATGGCACTCTTCACCTCAGGGTGTTTGATCAGGGGAGAGTGGAAGCCCAGCGGTGGAGGCCCTGGCTTCCCAGAAATGTCAGAGATATCAATGTCTTCTGTGAAAATCTTCTTTTCTTGTTTCTCTCTGGATGGTCTTTTCATTGTGGAGAAAAACATGATGTTTGGAACAGTGTCAATGAAAACCTAACAACAAGAGAGATGTATAAGCGTGCATGTCAACAGGTGACCTTCAAACTCTGTCTTTGAGCAATGTGAACTTGAACAAATCAGCACCTCTTGGCCTCAGTTGTCTCAGCCTTAATACAAGGAACACATATATAAAGATAGCTTTGTATATGAGGGTTCAAGAAGTTCATGGAAGACGCTGGTGCTGTGGCATAGCAGGTAAAGCCGCCGCCTGCAGTGCTGGCATCCCATATCGATGCTGGTTCAAGTCCCAGCTGCTCCACTTCCAATCCAGCTCCCTGCTAATGTGCCTTGGAAACAGCAGAAGATAGTCCAAGTCCTTGGGCCCTACACCCATGTGGGAGACTGGAAGAAGCACCTGGCTCCTGGCTTCAGATCAGCCCAGCTCCAGCCATTCAATGTGGCCATTTTGGGAGTAAACCAGCAAATGGAAAATCTTTCTTTCTTCCTTTCTTTCTTCCTTTCTTTCTTTCTTTCTTTCTTTCTTTCTTTCTTTCTTTCTTTCTTTCTTTCTTTCTTTCTCTCTTTCTTTCTCTCTTTCTTTCTCTCTTTCTTTCTCTCTTTCTTTCTCTCTTTCTTTCTCTCTTTCTCTCTCTCTCTCTCTCCCCCTCTCTCTCCCCCTCTCTCTCCCCCTCTCTCCCTCCCTCCCTCCCTCTCCTGCTGCTGCTGCTGCCTCTCTGTAACTTTACTTTTCAAATAAATAAATAAATCTTTTTTTAACAAAAGCTTATGGATAATGGAATTAAGATGTTCATTTTGGTGCAAAAAATATTGAAATCCTTGCATATTTTTTACTTCGAATCTTGTACTTTTTGAAGATCCTTCATATGCATGGATTTCAATGATTTTTTTTAAAAAAGATTTATTTATCTTTACTCAAAAGGCAGAGTTACAGAGAGACAGAGGCAGAGAGAGAGAGAGAGAGAGGTCTTTCATACGCTGGTTCACTCCTCAGTTGGCCGCAATGGCCAAAGCTGTGTCGATCTGAAGCCAGGAGCCAGGGGCTTCTTCTGGATCTCCCATGTGGGTGCAGGGGCCCAAAGACTTGAGCCATCTTCTACTGCTTTCCCAGGCCACAGCAGAGACCTGAATCGGAAGTGGTGCATCCAGGACTCGAACCAGCACCCATGTGGGATGCCAGCACTGTAGGTGGTGGCTTTACCCACTATGCCATAGCGCTGCAAGAATTTTTTTGCACTGAAACTTATCTTTTAATTCTACTTGCCATGAATTTTTGAAGTACCCTTGTATATCCTCTAACACAGTGATGATTCTGTAATGTGAGCAGCCAGCCACTGGAGGGAGCCTGTGTGCAGAACGTCAAACGCACTAAACCTTCCTGGCTCCTGGTAAGCAGCGTCCCAGGATTGTCTCCACAGGGTTAAAGAAGGGACTCCTTCACCTCAGATACACAGGTGCCTGGTCCCACAGAAATCTAGATGGGACAGGCGTTTGGTGCAGCGGTTAAGACGCCACATGGGATACCTGCAGCCCACATCGGAGTGCCTGCATTCAAGTCCTGGCTCTGTTCTGATTCCAGCTTCCTGCCCATATACACCCTGACAGGCATCAGGTGATGGCTCTAGT